GACTCCAAGTGTTTTTTGGGGCTTCTAATATTTAATTTTTGGAAGATTTAAAAAAAATGTTGGGACTTCCCTGCTTTTTTCAAAGAAAGGTGAGAAAATCTTGGAGACTCGGAGTATTTTTTTGAAGATTGTTAAAGAATCTTAGAGACTCAATGGTTTGTTTTTGAGAGAGTTTGAAAGAATTTAGGGACTATTAATTAGTGATTTTTTTCAAGTAAGGTAAAAGAATCTTGGGAACTTTTGGTATTTTGTTTTTGAAAGAGTTTATAATAATCTTGGAACTCCTAGTGGTTTTTTCAAGAATGTGAAAGAATCTTGGGGACTCGGATGTTTTATTTATGAAAGAGCCTGAAAGAATCTTGGGACTCCTAGTGTTTTTTTTTTAAAGAATGTGTAAGAATCTTGGGAACTTCTAGTGTTTTTTTTTTTTTTTACTTACTTACTTACTTACTTTATTGACGGAAAAACATCCTTAAACAATACAAAGAAAAAATAATAAAATCACATGAGAATGTTACAATATTTTTAAAATAAGATTTGCCTTAACTTAGTTTGAAATTTAGGAAATGTATCTGAATAAAAATCAATTCTGCTATAAATAGAATTACAAGTAAATAATATATTATTAAGTGGTGAAAACAACAAATAATTCGTAAAATTAAATTTAATGTAGAACAAGGGAGCTTGTCTAACATTGAACTGAGGAACATAGAAGTTAATAGAATTCAGAATGTCAGAATCGCACATATTGTTTAGAAGTTTATACATAAAACAAATTTTGTGAAAATCACGACGTACACTTAATAAAGACAAACCCAAATAAGATTTACTAAGACTAGTAGAATGAGAGACCTTAAGTGGTAATTTGAACAAAATAGATTTGACAAACTTATTTTGAATGCCTTCAATTCTATTCTTATGTATCTGATATATAGGATCCCACAGTATGCACCCATATTCCAAGACTGTATTGTTTTTGAAAGAGTTAAAGCAATCTTGAAACTCCTAGCAGTTTTTTTTCTAAGGAAGGTAAAAGAATCTTGTGGACTCCAAGTGTTTTTTGGGGCTTCTAATATTTAATTTTTGGAAGATTTAAAAAAAATGTTGGGACTTCCCTGCTTTTTTCAAAGAAAGGTGAGAAAATCTTGGAGACTCGGAGTATTTTTTTGAAGATTGTTAAAGAATCTTAGAGACTCAATGGTTTGTTTTTGAGAGAGTTTGAAAGAATTTAGGGACTATTAATTAGTGATTTTTTTCAAGTAAGGTAAAAGAATCTTGGGAACTTTTGGTATTTTGTTTTTGAAAGAGTTTATAATAATCTTGGAACTCCTAGTGGTTTTTTCAAGTATGTGAAAGAATCTTGGGGACTCGATGTTTTGTTTATGAAAGAGCCTGAAAGAATCTTGGGACTCCTAGTGTTTTTTTTAAAGAAGGTGTAAGAATCTTGGGAACTTCTAGTGTTTTGTTTTTGAAAGAGTTAAAACAATGTTGAAACTCCTAGTGTTTTTTTTTCTAAGGAAGGTAAAAAAATCTTGTAGGCTCGAAGTGTTTTTTGGGGCTTCTAATACTTTATTTTTGAAAGATTAAAAAAAATGTTGAGACTCTTCCACTGCTTTTTTCAAAGGAAGGTGAGAAAATCTTGGAAACTAGGAGTATTTTTTTGAAGATTGTTAAAGAATCTTAGAGACTCAATCGTTTGTTTTTGAGAGAGTTTGAAAGAATTTGGGGACTATTAGTGATTTTTTTCAAGTAAGGTAAAAGAATCTTGAGAATCTTTGGTATTTTGTTTTTGAAAGAGTTTAAAATAATCTTGGAGCGCCTAGTGATTTTTTCAAGAATGTGAAAGAATTTTGGGGACTCGATGTTTTGTTTATGAAAGAACTTAAAGAGTCTTGGGACTCCTAGTGTTTTTTTTTTAAGAAGATTTAAGGATCTTGGGAACTTCTAGTGTTTTGTTTTTGAAAGAGTTAAAACAATCTTGAAACTACTAGTGGTTTTTTTTCTAAGGAAGGTAAAAGAATGTTGTAGACTCGAAGTGTTTTTTGGGGCTTCTAATATTTTATTTTTGAAAGATTAAAAAAAATGTTGGGACTTCCACTGCTTTTTTCAAAGGAAGGTGAGAAAATCTTGGAGACTCGGAGTATTTTTTTGAAGATTGTTAAAGAATCTTAGAGACTCAATGGTTTGTTTTTGAGAGAGTTTGAAAGAATTTAGGGACTATTAGTGATTTTTTCAAGTAAGGTAAAAGAATCTTGAGAACTTTTGGTATTTTGTTTTTGAAAGAGTATAAAATAATCTTGGAACTCCTAGTAGTTTTTTCAAGAATGTGAAAGAATCTTAGGGACTCGATGTTTTGTTTATGAAAGAGCCTGAAAGAATCTTGGGACTACTAGTGTGTTTTTTAAAGAAGGTGTAAGAATCTTGGGAACTTCTAGTGTTTTGTTTTTGAAAGAGTTGAAACAATATTGAAACTCCTAGTGTTTTTTTTTCTTCTAAGGAAGGTAAAAAAATCTTGTAGACTCGAAGTGTTTTTTGGGGCTTCTAATATTTTATTTTTGAAAGATTAAAAAAAATGTTGAGACTCTTCCACTGCTTTTTTCAAAGGAAGGTGAGAAAATCTTGGAAACTAGGAGTATTTTTTTGAAGATTGTTAAAGAATCTTAGAGACTCAATCGTTTGTTTTTGAGAGAGTTTGAAAGAATTTGGCGACTATTAGTGATTTTTTCAAGTAAGGGAAAAGAATCTTGAGAATCTTTGGTATTTTGTTTTTGAAAGAGTTTAAAATAATCTTGGAGCGCCTAGTGATTTTTTCAAGAATGTGAAAGAATTTTGGGGACTCGATGTTTTGTTTATGAAAGAACTTAAAGAGTCTTGGGACTCCTGGTGTTTTTTTTTTAAGAAGATTTAAGGATCTTGGGAACTTCTAGTGTTTTGTTTTTGAAAGAGTTAAAACAATCTTGAAACTCCTAGTGGTGTTTTTTCTAAGGAAGCTAAAAGAATCTTGTAGACTCGAAGTGTTTTTTGGGGCTTCTAAAATTTTATTTTTGAAAGATTTAAAAAAAAAAATGTTGGGACCTCCACTGCTTTTTTCAAAGGAAGGTGAGAAAATCTTGGAGACTCGGAGTATTTTTTTGAAGATCGTTAAAGAATTTTAGAGACTCAATGGTTTGTTTTTGAGAGTTTGAAAGAATTTAGGGACTATTAGTGATTTTTTCAAGTAAGGTAAAAGAATCTTGAGAACTCTTGGTATTTTGTTTTTGAAAGAGTTTAAAATAATCTTGGGACTACTAGTGTTTTTTTTTTAAAGAAGGTGTAAAAATCTTGGGAATTTCTAGTGTTTTGTTTTTGAAAGAGTTAAAAGAATCTTGAAACTCCTAGTGTTTTTTTTTTCTAAGGAAGGTAAAAGAATCTTGTAGACTCGAAGTGTTTTTTGGGGCTTATAATATTTTATTTTTGAAAGATTAATAAAAATGTTTTGACTTCCACTGCTTTTTTCAAAGGAAGGTGAGAAAATCTTGGAGACTCGGAGTATTTTTTTGAAGATTGTTAAAGAATCTTAGAGACTCAATGGTTTGTTTTTGAGAGAGTTTGAAAGAATTTAGGGACTATTAGTGACTTTTTCAAGTAAGGTAAAAGAATCTTGAGAACTTTTGGTATTTTGTTTTTGAAAGGGTTTAAAATAATCTTGGAACTCCTAGTGGTTTTTTTCTAAGAAAGATAAAAGAATCTTGTGGACTCCAAGTGTTTTTTTCGGACTCTTAATGTTTAATTTTTGAAAGATTTTGAAAGAATGTTGGGACTTCTAGTGCTTTTTTCAAAGGAAGGTGAGAAAATCTTGGGGACTTGGAGTACTTTCTTCAAGAATGTTAAAAAATCTTAGGGACTCGACGTTTTGTTTTTGGGAGAGACTGAAAGAATCTTGGGACTATTAGTGATTTTTTCAAGTAAAGTAAAAGAATCTTGAGAACTTCTGGTATTTTGTTTTTGAAAGAGTTTAAAAAAATCTTGATACTCCAAGAGATTTATTTCTAAAGAAGATCATTGAATCTTGTGGACTCCAAGTGTTTTTTGGGGCTCCTAATGTTTTATTTTTGAAAGATTTTAAAAGCATTTTGGGACTTCTAATGCTTTTTTCAAGGGAAGGTGAGAATATCTTGGGGACTCGGAGAACTTTTTTCAAGAATGTTAAATAATTTTAGGGAATGGATGTTTTGATTTTGAAAGAGTCTGAAAGAAGCTTGGTTTTTTCGATTGAGGTAAAAGAATCTTCATGACTTCTACTATTTTGTTTTTGAAAGAATGTTGGGACTTTCAGTGCTTTTTTCAAAGGAAGGTGAGAAAATCTTGGAGGCTCCAAGTGCTGGTTATAGAAGATGGAAGAATGCTGAGAACCTTTGACACTTTGATTTTGAAAGACTGAAATAATTTTGGGGCTTCTGGTGTTTTTTTTAAGGCATGCGAAAGAATCTTCTGGACTCCAAGTGATTTTTTGTAAGAGGATGAAAAAAAAAATCTCAGGAACTCCTGGTGTTTTTTTTAAAGTTTGAAACAATTATTATAGAAGCCTTTAGTTTTTTTGTTAAAGAGTGTGAAAAAATCCCTAGTGTTTAATTGAAAGCAACAAAAAGCCTCTGAATCTTCCGATGTTTCTGGACCAACAGTTAAAAAAAATTGGCTAGACAAGAAATTATAGGAATAGAATATTTTGTACACCTGAAATGAAATGAAAATACTTAGAATTTTACAAGCTTCGAAACAGAGGACCTACTTTTTCAATCTGTAAGAACTATGAAGCGTCTCAAAACATAAGGTACGTTCGGAAAGTAAAAATTAAATAAATCATAACTACTTCTTTCAGAAATACTTACAGACCAACTATAGATTACACTACTTTTATTAAAACAAATAATAACACTAAAGTTGGGTTAGAACAAACACGTAGACTTCATATCCTTCCACGTTGACACAAGTCATTTCAAATTTGACAGTCCTAACTCAATGTAATTTTTCTTTTGACTATGATCAAAAAACGCCCCAAATTCCATATAATGCGGTAGCAACGACCCTCTTAACCAAGAATGGTATTTCGTCGCCGTGCAGTCCCTGTTCACCTAGCAGTAGAATCCGGAGATTTCCCCAAAGTAAGGGAACTCATCGAACATAAACCACACATAATCCACTCTCGAACACAAAGCGAAGGAAAGTCGCCCCTCTACATCGCGTGCGAAAAAGGCCACCTAGAAATCGTCAAGTACTTGCTCGACTGGGGCGCCGATGTCAACGTCAGGACTCTCACCGGTCTTTCACCTTTGTACATAGCATCTCGAAACGGACACTTCGAGATTGTTAAGAACCTCGTCTTCAGAGGTGCGAACATCAACACTCTCACTAGGAGTGGAGTGACTCCTTTATTGACAGCTTTAACAAGAGGCCACGACCAAATTTTCGTGTTTTTGTGTGACCAAGGGGCAAATTTGGACCAGGAGTACCGCAAAGGCAAAATTTTGCATAGAGTGGTATCAGGGGGGAAATTGCCTCTGGTGAGGTTCTTGGTGGAAGAGAAACAAATGAATGTGAATGTTGTAGGACCAAAACACCTGACACCTCTTTATAAAGCGGCGTCAAAAGGGTACACAGAAATAGTAAAATTGTTAGTTAACCGAGAAGCTAATGTTGACGCAGTGGTGCTCAAGAGTGGTACCCCTCTATACATAGCGGCCAAAAAAGGGTACTTGGATATTGTCAAAGTGCTCGTTTCGAGAGGAGCTGAGGTCAATCTTGTGGCACCAGGAAACAAGTGCACGCCTTTGTATGCAGCAGTGTCTTCCAAGAGAGAAGAAATTGTAGAGTTTCTTCTGCATCACGATGTCGACGTGAACCAAGAGTCGAAAAAAGATGGAAATACGCCCTTGCATGTAGCAGCTGAAGCTGGAAACTTATACATGGTGAAACTCCTAGTCAACAATAAGGCTAAACTAGAAACTATTAACAAAAGAGGAGTAACACCGCTCAGGCTAGCCGAAAAGCACAGACACTACCACGTTGTGGATTTCTTGAAACAAAGAAGTGCGTTTGTGAGGAAATACAAAGCCCGCAGAGACCACATCCTTGTAGCGGTAGAAAAAGGTAAAGAAGATTTCATCCAGTGGTACCTAGAAGGAGACAAAACCTTAGTTAACCTAGTAGATGATAAAGGTAACACTCCTCTACATAAAGCAGCAGAATATGGTGAAATGGCAATTGCCAGACGACTAGTACAAGCAGGTGCCAACGTCAACGCTTTAAGTAAAATTGGCCACACTCCACTTTCTCTTGCCATAAAGACCTACAACCACGACATGGTGGAATACCTCCTTCAAAACCACGCCGATGTTTATGTTAACATCACCACCGCAACCCTCTGTGCAGCTTTGGACGCAGCAATAATGAACGACAACATCAACATAGTGCAAAGTTTAGTGTCAAGAAAATTCGACGTGAACTTTCACCTCTTCGATGGAGACACTCTCCTCCACAAGGCAACGCACTACGGCCAAGAAGAAATTGTCAAGTATTTGGTCCAAAACCACGCCGTTCTCAATATTGTCAACAAGAAAGGGTTAACACCACTATGTTGCGCTTGCAACGAAGGACACTCGGAGATCGTAGAATTCTTTTTAAACAATCGAACTGACGTCAATGTTTTTGGACCGAAGGGCTACACACCGTTGTATGGGGCAGTTGCGAACAACCATTTGGACATAGTGCAAATGCTATTAAAAACTAAAGCTGCTGTCAATATAACCTTCGACAACGGCGAAACTGCTTTACACCAAGCGGCTTACCACGGCAATACAGAAATTCTAAACGAGTTGATTCAAGTGGGGAAGGCTAAAGTGAATGTTGTTAGTAAAAAGGGCTTCACGCCTTTGTACTTCGCAGCTAGAGAAGGCCACTGGAAAACTGCTAAGTCTCTGATACATTTCAAAGCGGATATCAATCTAGGCAAAGCCTTAGGTTTTGCTCCCTTGTACGGTGCGGCGGCTAGTGGATGTCTAGAAATCGTGGAATATCTAGTGGATCTAGGGGTCATTGTTACTGATTCTTTCATTGGTGGTAATAAAGCTTTGCATCACGCAGCACTACACGGTCACCTTAATATTGTTCAGTACTTGTTACAAAAGGGTGCTGATATTAACGCGATCAATAACGAAGGGATGACGCCGATTTGTTTAGCTGCGAAAGAAGAACATATGGATGTTGTTAAATTTTTGCTGGATCAAAATGCTCTAATCAAAATAGGGCATCAAGCTGACTTGATCCATGTGGTTAGAAGCACCGGAAATGAAAAACTAATCAAACTAATTTTTAAGTATCGATAAAATTGTGTTTGTAAGTGTGTAATAAGAGACGAGTATGTTTTTGTTACCGGAATTTTGTAATTTTAAGTTTAAGTTTATTAGAAAGTAAGTTCAACTGTTTGGAAAATATACAATTTGTGATGTTTCTACAAGTATTTGCAATAATCTGATAGTCTAATATTAATTAGTTGAGAATTAATAGACAGAGTCACTTCAAAACAAAAAACAAAACAAAAATACTATAAAAACATAGGTAGTATGTATAAAGTAGGTATACTCTACATTTTTTTAACATTTTTCGCAACACTTGATAATACGTCTAGTCTCTTGACAGTTAAAAAAATTGGTAAAAATGTCAATAATTATGATTTTAATACTTGGTATGTACTAGTTTACACATTTACTCCACTTTACTTTATCTAATAAAATTTATTTGCGTTGTACGCAACCCTTTATACACCAGCATATTGGGCTCCTCTGCTGTTTTGCTTCGAAAGGAGTCTAAAAGGGTTTTAGGAGTTTCTAGTGATTTCTGTTAATAATGTAAAAAAATTGGGGCCCTGGTGTTTTGTTTTTGAAAGAGTTTGTAAAAATTACCAGTTTATTTCTGTTTAAAAAGGACCTTTGTGGCCTCTATGGTCTCTTTTGTAAAGAATGTGAAAAAATCTTTGGAGCTCTTGGTGTTTTGTCTCTATAAAGTTTAAGAGAATCTTGGAGGCTTCTAGTAACTTTTTTTTAAAGAAATTCAAAGAATTTTAGAAGCCCCTAGGTGTTTCTTTTTACTAAAATAGTCTTGAGGGCTATTTCTGTATTTTTTAAAGAAGATGAAAGAATCATTGGAGCTTTGGGTACTTTCCTTTTGAAAAAGTTTCAAAAAATTTTAAAGAAATATGAAAGAATCTTGGAAGCCCTTAAGAATTTGATTGAATCTTTAGTGTCCCGTTTAGTCTATTTTTTCAAAACAATGATGAATTTTAGGGGTTCCTAATGTTTTTTTTTTTTTAACAAGGTGGAGTAATTTTTTGTGGCCTTGGAGTTTTGTTTGAAAGAGTTTGAAAGTATTTTAAGGTTCTTACTGACTTTTTTTTTAAGAAGGTGAAAGAATCTTTGGAGCTCTTAGTGTTTTATTTTTAAAATAGTTTGAGAAAATCTGGGAGGCTCATAGTGTCTTTCTTTTTCTTTTTCAAAATAAGTGATCGAATCTTCGGAATCCCTGGTGATTTTTTTAAGAGTTTCAGAAGTCTTGGATATTCTAATCTTTTTTGAAAGACTAAACAAATCTTAGGGAATCTTTCTGTATTCTTTAAAGAAGATAAAAGAAATTTTGCAACCTCGGGTGTTGAAAGAGCTTCAAAGAATTTAGTATCTTTTTTGAAGAATATAAAAGAATTTTGGCGGTCTTTAAGAATTTGATAGAATCGTAGGAGCTCCTAGTGTCTCTTCGTTTATTTTTTTAAAAGAGTGATCAATTTTAAAAGTTCCTAGTATGTTTTTTTCAAGAAAATGTAAGAATCCTCGAGGGTTCTGGTATTGTGTTTTTGAAAGAGTTTCAAAGAATCTGTTCCTAGTGTATTCTTTCAAAGAAGATGAAATAATCTTTGGAGTCTTTACTCTTATTTTTGTCAAAGTTTCAGAAATCTTGTAATTCCTTAGTCTTTTTTTTTAAAGACTGTATAATAATTCTAGGGGATTTTTGTTTTTTCTAAGAAGGTAAAGGAAACCTTGCAGTCTCGAATGTTTTCATTTTAAAAGAGTTTCAAAGAATTTAGCAGCCCTTAGAATCTTTCTTTAAGAATATGAAAGAATCTTAGAGATCCTGAAGAATATGATAGAATCTTAGCGATCCCTAGTGTCGTTTAGGCTATTTTTTTCGAAAGAGTGATGAATTTTAGGGGTTCCTAATGTTTTTTTTAAGAAGATGAAAAAATCTTTGGAGCTCTTGGTGTTTTATTTTTAAAAGAGTTTAAGAAATTCTGGGAGGCCCCTAGTGTCTTTTTTCTTTTTCAAAGTAGGTGATAGAATCTTCAGGAACCCTGGTGATTTTTTTAAGAGTTTTAGAAGTCTTGGATATTGTTAGTCTTTTCTGAAAGATTAAAAAAAATCTTAGGGGTTCTTTCTGTATTCTTTAAAGAAGATAAAAGAAACTTCGCAGCCTCGGGTGTTGAAAGAGCTTCAAAGAATTTAGTATCTTTTTTAAAGAATATAAAAGAATTTTGGGGGTCTTTAAGAATTTGATAGAATCGTAGGGGCTCCTAGTGTCTCTTCGTTTATTTTTTTAAAAGAGTGAACAATTTTAAAATTCCCTAGTATCTTTTTTTCAAGAAAATGAAATAATCCTCGAGGGTCCTGGTATTGTGTTTTTGAAAGAGTTTCAAAGAATCTGTTCCTAGTGTATTTTTTTTAAAGGAGATCAAATAATCTTTGGAGTCTTTAGTCATATTTTTGACAGAGTTTCAGAAATCTTGTAACTCCTTAGTCTTTTTTTTTAAACTGTATAATAATTCCTAAAAAATGAAAGAATGTTCGGGGGCCCTGGCGTTTCGTTTCTCAAAGAGTTTCAAAGAATCTTGTAGACTTTGAGTCTATTTTCTTAAAGAGTTTGAAAGAATTTTAGGTGTTACTAGTGTCTTTTTTTAAAGAAGGTAAAATAATCTTTATAGGCTCTAGAGTTTTATTATTGAAAGAGTTTCAGAAGTCTTGGAGAACCTTAGTCTTCTTTGTTGAAAGACTGTAAAATAAACTTGGGGGCTCTTTGTATATTTTTTCAAAGAAGGTAAAATAATCTTCGTAGCTTCGAATGTTTTGTTTTTGAAAGGGTTTCACTAAATTTAGGGGTCTCTAATATCTTTTTTTTCATATAAAAAATTTTCGGGACCTTTAAAAATTTTATAGAATCTTAGGGCCTCCTAGTGTCCTTTAGTCTATTTTTTCAAAAAATAAATCTTAGGGGTTCATAATGTCTTTTTTTTAATTAAAGGATCTTCGGAGACCCTGGTGTTCCGTTTTTAAAAGATTTAAAGATTCTAGGCGACTTTGAGTCTATTTTCTTAAAGAGTTTGAACTCGGTTTAGGTCTTTCTAGTGTCTTTTTACAAAAAAGGTGAAATAATCTTCGGAGCTTCTAGAATTTTATTTTTGAAAGTCTTGGAGATTCTTAGTCGTTTTTTTAAGAATATGAAAGAATCGTAGGCGCCCCTAGTGTCGTTTAGTCTATTTTTTCAAAAGAGTTTTTGAAAGAGTTTCGAAAAATCTTAGCGACTTTGAGTCTATTTTCTTAGTATTTGAAAAGAATTTTAGGTGTTTCTAGTTGTTTTTTTTTTTTAAGAAGTTGAAATTATCTTTGGAGTCTCTAGAGTTTTATTTGAGTTTTAAAAATCATGGAGATCTATTGTATTTTTTTTAAATACTGAAAAATAATCTCGGGGGTTCTTTGCGTATTTTTTAAAGAAGATAAAAAAATCTTCGTAGGCTCGGATGTTTTCTTTTTGAAAGAGTTTCAAAGATTTGTTTTAAATAATATGAAAGAATTAGAGCTCCTAGTGTCTTTTAGTCTACTTTTTTCGAGAGAGTGATGCAATTTAGGCGTTCCTAGTGTCTGTTTTCTTAAAGAAGATGAACGAATCTTCCGGGCCAGTGACGTTCCGTTTTTAAGAAAGTTTCAAAGAATCTTACCGACTTTGAGTCTTTTTACTTCAAGAGTTTCAAATAGTACTAGGTGTTCCTACAGCCTTGTCCTAAAAAGGGTGAAATATCTTTGGATCCCCTGAAGTTTTATTTTTGCAAGAACTTGAAAGAATTTTGGGAGCCTTAGTGTCTTTTTTAACGAATGTGAAGAATCTTCGGGCTCCTGGTATTTTGTTTTTGAAAGAGTTTCGAACGATCTCGGAGATCTTTAGTTACTTTTCTTGAAAAATCTTTGTAACTCCAGTAGCTAGTAAAGATTCTTGGGGGTTCCAGACGTAATATTTCTGAAAGAATTTGAAACAGTCTTGAAGACTGTTCGGATATTTTAAGAGTTTGAAAGCATCTTTGGGTCCCTGGTATTTTTTTTTAAAGAATATAAAAGAATCTTCTGGCTTTTGAGTTTTAGAGAGTATGCAACTCTTTATACACCAATTTGTAAACATGCCCAATCATGCCACTACAAGTCACGTGACCTGTCAAATGTGTCAAACGTCAAACTCAACATGGCTCCCCATGGAAGATGTTGTGAGGGTGATCACCAACACCGTGATACCCCCGAAATGGGGATCGAATACAGCTTATACACAAAAATCAACAAAGATAACCTCGAGTGTCTCAACGAGGCGGTGGAAGGTTCCGGCAAAACCGTCTTCAAACCGTGGGAGGAGCGTATGAACTTCGACTTAGTAAGTGAGGTTATGTTTTTGAGTAGTCGTAAACCGAAAATATTATAGTTTGTGGATTCCGACGCCGATGAGGAGTTACTATTCAATATACCTTTCACCGGCAATGTTAAACTCAAAGGAATTATCATAATTGGGGAGGACTCGGATACCCACCCTTCAAAAATTAGAATGTGAGTTGGGGCAGGATTGTTTCATGATGATATTGTGTGTAAAGGTTTAAGAATCGGCCGTCGATGACGTTCGACGATGTGGGGGCCACGGCGGACCAGGAGTTTCAGTTGCACGTGGATAATCAAGGTACACTCGAATATGCAACTAAGTAAGTTTTGTTTATGAGCAGATGTACTGAGTGTTGAGTAGAATTGTCACTTTTAATAGTGTGCATCACTTAACATTGCACTTTCCGAGCAACTTTGGGGCGGAGACGACCCGTATTTATTATATAGGATTGAGAGGGGAGTACAGTGAGGCGCACCACCATGGAGTTACCATTTGTACATATGAGGCACGACCGAATGTCTCTGACCATAAAAATCCTCTGGAGGACACCGTCGGGCACCAGATACAATGACTTGAAGTGGCGAGTTCAAATTGTGATACTAATTTATTGAAAAAGTTCCATTGTTTTGCTATGATTAAATAATAATTTTTAAGCATTGTGTGGAAGTTTGAATATGACCTGATATAGTTATTAAAAAGACACGTTTGGTAGGATCCCTGTTATTAACAATATATACTTACAATATTCTGTATTAAAATAACAATTGACTTTTATTTATACAAATGAATAAACATTACACTTACATGGAATGTTTCCACTATCACTAAACATGTATGTCGTAATTTTTCCAAATATAAAGCTTCTAAATACACAACATATACTCTATTTACTAAGTAAACAGATTTCTTTTTAAATATTAATTTTATAGAAATATAAATCAACTCGCAAAATATTTGCAAATTGTCTCTTCTAACATTCATCAGTCAGTTTTTTTTTTCTATTTATACAGGATGTTTCACGCGCGCACGCCCCAGCTGCGCGCGCAAAACACCCTGCATACTCGTCTAAAATACATAAATACTTTGACTATATACACATAGTATTGTACATCGTCTATGCTAGAACCCATAAAATCAACTTCCATGTCTATATAGTCTGTCAATAACATAAATGTAAAAGAGAACTAGAGCTACGATAAAAAATCTAATAAAACAATCACATCATTCAAAAAATCTGTTGCAGCACACCGATCAAAACTGTCTTTTTAGTTTCCTCAATTCGCCTAGGAACATGATGGATTCATTTAATTGTTGCTTTCTGGGTCGTGGACTTGACAGTGGGCGACGTTTCGTCGGTGGTCGCTGTACCATCAGCGAACAGCACGTCCGGCAAAGAACCGGCCTCCTCGGCGATCTCGTCGGGAACCAGCTCGATCTCGGAAGCCGTCGTGAAGTCGCTGGTCGTGGTGGGCTTGATGGTCATCACCAGCTCCGTGCTGGTGGGCGGCAGGCTGTTGGCGCTAGTGAAAAGTACCTTGTCGATGTAGAACATCGTACCCAGGTTGTAGACGAAGACCTCGCTCTCGACGATGGTGGCGTCGTTGACTTTGACTTTATCTAGACACAAAACAAAAAAAATTAGGACCTACTTTTTCATAATCTAGGGTCACGAAAACAGGTGTTGCCAACCTTTGGTCCTTTTTATGACGATCGTTTTATTCCCGAGGGTTGTCAGCTCGATTTCGTCCTTCAAGTCCTTGTCGTATAGTCTCCCCTTGACGAAGTGGTTGAGTAGTATCTGGAGTCCGTCTCCCGTGGACAGGTAGTTGTCGGGCATTTTATCCAGGCCCAGTTCCTCGAAGGCCGTGTCCGTGGGCACGAAGAAGGTGTAGCCTGTCCCGGAGACGTGGGGCGCCAGGTCGGCTAGGTTCAGGAACCTGGTGATGTGGGTGAAGCGCTTGTCCCGCTCGAGGGCTAGGAAGGCGTGCGACAGGAATTGGGCCCCGAACCAGGGGAAGGCGAGCAAAGGTGGGGTTTCTTTGTCCCGGTGCTGCTGGTGCAGCTTGGAGACCACGGCTTCGCTGACGAAGAGGACTTCGCCGATGAACATGATGTTGCCCCGGGACACGGGGGTGTCGCCTTTTACCACCATCGCGCCGTTGACGGAGAGGTTAGCTGGAAAGTGAATTTTTTATTTTTTAATTGATGACGAGGCGGAGTCGAGTAAAAGTCAATTCCAAAATGTTGAAGCCGTTTTTCGAAAATAAGTTATTTTTTATGTCGATACGGGGACTACAGTTAAATGAGAATATGGAACTATTTTAAATTGGTGGCTAACATTTTTTTATTTTTAGGTAAAAGTGATGTAATTCGCTTACTGAAGAAATTTAGGACTTTGCAGTATTAACATGAAATCACAACTTCGTCCATCTGGAATATCTTCTGAAAATCTAGTTCCAGATACATATATTTTTAATGTAGACTTGTGTTATGTATTAAATTTATAGCTTGGTTTTATGTATCATAATATGAAATTCTTTGACATTTAAAAGAATTTGACATCGTTTTAACCTCATTCAAGTTTTCCCCCATCTTTTTCCCTAAAATTATTTTGAAAATTACTCTCTGAGGATGAAACAAATTATACAACAAAGAACGTAAAAGGCCATGCATCTTACGTATAAGTTGGTGCTACTGGCTAATCGTAATCACAATTTGAAATTTATTGTAATTTTAATCAAAATTTGTTAGATTTCGCTGATAGTGATATAATAAGTTTAGCTACAAAGTGAAATTTTATTTTTCTGATCGACGTTTGACAGTGCGCAGCGATGCACAGGAAGTACCAACTGATTTTAAAAATCCATGGCCTATTTTGCCTTGAATTTCCTTTTTTTTTAACTAACGACTAGGGCGAAAATTTTGTCTTGATCCGCTATGAAACTACAATATTTATGAAAAAATAACTTTGTGTGAAATATTCTTAGTTCAAAAACAAAGTTGTCTTCATTTCCGTGGAAGTATGAGTACTAGAACTAACAGAGAATTTTCTTATACTGCTGTTGCCAAACCTGATTCAAATGCTTGCCTCTTTTAAGCACTCAAAAATGTTTGGTTCTGGCATTTTAATAGTAATAATCAATGACACATTTTGGAAATGACAGGTCTACCAATTTTTAGCAAAATTTACCGCAATAGTACTTGCTAATCACCCTATATTGAAGTAATAAAAGTACTTTGATCAATTCTGTGAATTTAACAATAATAAAAAATATCGTACACAAAACAACGTAAAAATGACCGAAGTTTCTCCATTTCGTTCTTTCATAGAAAATTTTACGTGAAAGAAATACCGCGTGACTTCTAAAGTTTGTGATATTTTTTTGTCACGTTGGTAACACATTTAAAATTTTATGGTGGCATACCGGATGTCAAATTCAAATTTTGGACACTTGCCATTGGTCTCATTTAGTTTTCATGTCAAAATTGACAACTGCGCACCTAAAAATTTGCCTCAGTCATTAAAAGTCACTCGGTATTTGATCTAAAATTTCCTCTGTTAGTACAAAACACAAAGTACTTCATTATTTATTGACTATGTAGAAAACAGCAATCTCTGGATCTGCAAATAGTACTTATATGTTCTGTTCTGGTTTTATACCGAGTGATCACAAATGATTGAGTCTGTTGGCAATTCTGGATTTTTAGTTGAAATTGACAGACTGCTGATATTTTTAAATTTGTAAAGTGTATCCAAAACATAACCTAAATTTATCACATGTCACGCAATTATTTCCGTTATACCAAAATAAACGCAAGAAAAGTTCACATTTTTATTCCCGCACCACGGATTCACTGTTGCCAACTTAAATTTGAGCGCATAAAAACATAAGGTACAAAAATTTCACTTGACTGAATCAGCGGCCATTTTCTAAGAATCTAGAGGTCTATTAGAGATTAAAGGGAATAATAATGAAGCAATAAGAGAATTCTGTAAAGACCGGCAAATGAGTCTCAGAGAGGAATAATCGAGTCCTAGAGAAAGCGAAAATCATGTTCTAGAAAGAGCGTTACCACGTCCTTGAAAAAGCGATATGATCCTAGACAGAGGTTTGACGAAATAAGATAAAAAAAAGATAATGGAGTTCTAGAGAGCAATCGCTGAGTTCTATACAAAAAAAAGCCAAGAATGACCATAAAATCCTAGAAACAACGACAATCGAGCTCTAAAGAGAGATAATCGAGGCCTAGAAGCACCGATAATCAAGCTCTAGAGAGAGCAGTAGTGGAGTCATTAACAAAGTCTTAAAGTAAACGATAAACAAGTCCTACAGAGAGCAACAGTCAACTCCTAGAAAAAGCTATAACCAAGTAGTAGAGACAGTGATAATCGAGTCCTAGGGAGAGTACTAATAAGACCTATAGACTATTTGAAAAAGCATCTAAAGTAACAATCGAGTCCTAGAGAGATTGCCGTTTGAGTCTTCCAGATTCCATTAATCAAGGTTTGGAGAAAGCGACAATTGAATCCTACACAGAGAGATAATAATCGAGTCCTAGAACAAGCGATAACTAGGTTTAAAAATAATCATGCCGTACAGAGCGTGGTCATAAATTCCTAGAAAGAGCGATAGTAAAATAACTAGGTGCAACAATCAAGTCCTCAAAACACCCACAATCGCGTCGTTGTGGCAACCGAATTCTAAAGAAAGCGACCGTCGACTCCTAGAAATAGCGACAGTAAAACAATTCCTACAAACAACAACAATCATGTTCTAGATGGAGCGATAACAGAGTTATAGGAAAAACGATAAATGAGTCTCAGAGACAGTGATAATAGATTTCCAGAGAAATTGAAAAAACAGAGTCCTAGAAAGAGCGATAATAAAGTCCTAGAAAAAATAATAGAGTTCTACAGAAAGCGACGATTAAATTCTAGAGAGCGGTCGTTCAGTTTTAAACAGATCGAAAATCTATCCAACAGTGACCATAAAGTCCTAGAAACAACGAGAATAGAGCTCTAAATAGAGATAATCAAGGCCTAGAAGCTCCCGTAATCAAGCTCTAGAGAGAGAGCAGCAGGGAAGTCATTAATCAAGTCTTCAAGGAAACGATAACCAAGTCCGAAAAGTCCAAACGATAATCAAGGTCAAGACAAAGTGATAAACAAATCTTACAAAGCTCTACAGAGAACGATTATAAAGGCGATAATAAACTCCTTGAAAGAGCGACACCCAAGTAGTAAAGAGAGTGATAATCGAGTCCTAGGGAGAGTACTAATAAGATCTATAGAGTATTTGAAAAGACGTTAATCGAATCGTACCTAAAGTAACAATCGAGTCCTAGAGAAATTGAAATTTAAGTCCTACACAATCTAATAATCAAGTTATAGAGAGAGCGAGAACTGAATCTTCCAGAGAGAGATAATTGAGTCCTAGAACAAGCGATAACTAGGTTTAAAGAAAGTGATAACTGATAATCACGCCGTACAGAGCGTGATCATAAATTCCTACAAAGAGCGATGGTAAAATCCTAGAGAGAGTAACAATCAAGTTCTAAATCACCCGTAATCGCATCGTTGTGGCAACCGATCGTCGACTCCTAGAAATAGCGACAGTAAAATCTACGCAACAGCGATAGTAAAATCCAACAGACAACAATAATCATATTCTAGACGCAGCGAAAACAGAGTCTGATAATATATTTCCCGAGAAATTGGAAATCGAGCCCTAGAAAGAGATAATCGAGTTCTAGAAAAAGCGATTATGAAGTTCTAGACTAAGATAGAGAAAAAAAATCGTAAGTTCTACAAAAGGCAGTGATCATTTTAGAGAGCAATCGCTCAGTCTTATATAGATCGAAAATCAATCCAATAGCGACCATAAAATCCTAGAAACAACGACAATCCAGCTCTAAAGAGAGCAATAATCAAGGCCTAGAGGCACCAATAATCAAGTTCTAATGAGAGCAGTAATGGAGTCATCGAGAGCGGGAATCACGTGCAATTACTGAGTCCTAGAAAAACCCATAACCAAGTAGTGATAATCGAGTCCTAGGGAGAGTACTAATAAGATCTATAGAGTATTTGGAAAGCGTTAATTAAGTCGTATCTAGAGTAAAAATTGTGTCCTAGGGAGATTGACATCTGAGTTCTACAGTATCAAATTTTAGAGAAAGCGACAATTGAATCCTTCAGAGAAAGACAATCGAGTCCTAGAACAAGCAATAATTAGGTCTTAAAGAAAGTTATAATCTTGCCGTATAGAACGTGATCATAAATCCTAGAAGGAGCGATGGTAAAATCCTAGAGAGAACAACAATCAAGTCCTAAAAACACCCATAATCGCGTCGTTGTGGCAACCGAGTTCTAAAGAGAGCGACCGTCGACTCCTAGAAATAGCGATAGTAAAATCCTACCGGCAACAATAATTATACTCTAGATGGAGCGACAACAGCTTCTGATAATAGATTTCCGGAGAAATTGGAAATCGAGCCTTAGAAATAGCGACAGTCAAGCATGGGGACGAGATAATCGAGTTGTAGAAAAAGCGATACTCGTAGAGAGCAATTGTTCCCTCTTATATAGATCGAACATCAATCCAGCACGACCAGAAAATTCAGAAACAACAACAATCGGGCTCTAAAGATAGCAATAATCAAGGCCTAGAGGGACTGATAATCAAGTTCTAGAGAGAGAAGTAGTGGAGTCATTGAGCGCGGGAATCACGTGCAATTACTGAATCCTAAAAAACCGATAATCAAGCTCTATAGCAAGGCATAATCAAGTTCTAGAAAGAGCAATAACTTAAGTAGATAGTAAAGAGAGAGATAATCGAGTCCTAAAACAAGCGATAATTAGGTCTTAAAGAAAATGATAATCATGCCGTACAGAACGTGACCATAAATTCCTAGAAAGAGCAATGGTAAAATCCTAGAGCGAGCAACCATCAAGTCCTAAAAACACCCATAGTCGCGTCGTTTTGGTAACCGAGTTCTAAACAGATGGAGCGACAATAGAATTCTGGGACGAGCGATAAATGAGTCTTGGAGACAGTGATAATATAATTCCCGAGAAATTGGAAATCGAGCCCTAGAAAGAGCGATAGTCAAGTCTGGGAACGAGATAATCGAGTTCTAGAAAAAGCGATTATGAAGTTCTAGACTAAGATAGAGAA